AAAAACATGAATTATGCTGAAGACTGGGTGAATACAAACTCCCTGGCAGGAGTCAAATGCCACAGGAGGGGAAGAAAGTCCCAGGGTGCCACCAGGCAATGTTCACATGGAAAGTGTGATGCACCACAGCGGAACCCAAAAATATTACCAGCCAAGTTCTGATCACACAGCTCTAATTTCCTAACTCCCACGTTTTTTACTTCATAGCTCTGATGCTCTTTTCGTTTGGTCTTTCACAGTGTGGAGGTTTAGGTGGTTCTGAGAATAACAACATTGGGTTGTGAGTCGGGTTCAGGATATGGCGTTTATCTCCTGACAAGGGCCTGCCTTGGAAAAAGGGGATTTGTTATGAGCTAGGAGCTAAAAGAGAGAGTACTCCCAAGCCAGTGAGCCATTCTAGCAGGGAAATATTTTGTGTTGTTGGTCTTCCCCAGCCTACATGATTCTGGGATTCTTTTTCCATGAGGATTCTGCTTTGACAGACACACAGAATATTTCTGTTTCTGCAGCTTGAGAAGTGAAGTAGTCTGTTAACACTAATCAGAAGATTATTTTTTTTCCCTAGCTCTGTTCTTGAAWGTTATTGTGTGTTTTAATTTGATCTGAGACATCTCGTGTGGAAAGGTTTGTCCCACAAAGAGTTAAATTGGCTCCTGGTCATGGAAAGTTTTAGGCAGAGCTGTGGTGTCCCTGGGAGCTGGGTTCTCTGGGTTCCTCTGGGTACCTTTGGGTTTCTTTGGGTTCCTCTGGGTTCCTTTGAGTTCCTCTGGGTTCCTCTGGGTTCCTTTGGGTTCCTCTGGGTTCCTCTGGGTTCCTTTGAGTTCCTCTGGGTTCCTCTGGGTTCCTCTGGGTTCCTTTGGGTTCCTTTGGGTTCCTCTCTTACTCACTGCCCCTCATGTGCTGTTTCAGTGCCTTCTGCCTGTTTGATTATCTTGGGAAATTGGAGAAAGATGGCAAGGCTGGGGTGTTTATAGCAGAAAAGAGCAGTGGGAAGATGTGAGCAGCACAGAGCTTCTAGAAAGCTGAGTTAGGTGAAGTTCAGCCCAAAAGGGAGCAGAGTTGRTGCTGTGGGRGCTGGGGTTTGTGATGGGCTCAGGYTGGGAGCAGTTCAGGACAGCACTGCTTGATTCTGCTGCAGGGAATGGTTTTTGTGAATGATTCTCATGAAATCCCATCCCCAGTGCTGTTGTTATCCAGTTCTGACTGTGCTTCCAGAAAATATCCCAGCAGCAGGATCCCTGCTGCAGTTGAAGCTGTTTGAAAGTTTCCCTCATTGCTGACAGTTCCCCTCTCTAATTTCAGATATGTGCCATCATTGGAGGAACATTTACTGTAGCTGGGATCCTCGACTCCTGCATTTTCACAGCATCAGAGGCCTGGAAGAAGATCCAGCTGGGGAAAATGCAGTAGCAGTGAAACTCTACCCTCGTCTCCAAGGACAGGAGCAAAGATTGAGAGATCTACCACTACCTGTTTTTGTCTTTATTTTCTATTTGATCGAATCAGTATGTTTTTCTCTAATCAGGCTGTTCAGTGAAGATGTCTTCAACAAATCAAAGAAATCTCCATGCATTTCAGAGCTCTGAGAGGGAAAAATCAGTGGGATCAGGGTGTGGGTTTTGATTCCCTCCCCCCAGAAAGAGAGGTCRAAATGCCATATCAGATCTAAGTAAGGATGACAGTCTGTCCTCTGGGAGGTTCCTCTGGCAGGGTACAACCTAGAGAGTAGATGGCAAAGAGCTGAACTGTCTTGTGGCACTTTYTGGAGTTCTGTTGGATTTGCATGATTAGACAATCGACTTTCTGTATAGGGCAAACGATACCTGAGGAAGAAATTCCACCCGTGGTGCCAAAAGGGTGATGTGTCTGTTGGTGAGGAATGGAAAGTGTTAGTCCCCACAGCAAACCTCAGAGACAGAGGGCAGAAATAACATATCAAGAGATGTTTTGTGCTTTTTTTTTGAAAGCTCAGTGGTTCAGATACAACCTTTCTAAGGAAGTGAACAAAGGAGAAGAGGAAGCCTTCCCCAGCTACCTTTTCCTGGGYACTCTGTGACCCCAGCAGTGGAGGGCATTTCTTTTACTCTGGATGGAAAAGTGGTTTCATTTCTCCCCACTAATGAATATCCAGTCTTGTGTTTACAGGTGGCATGAAGTAAAAACCAAACTGAGCAACACAGTTTTATGTGGCCTTTGCTTTGAAAGGGAATAGTTGTCTTTACAGCATTAGCTTTGATTTTTTCTGGTTTTAAACACAGACCACCCAAAAGTCTGGATTCTGCACTTCTGCTTTGTCATTGTTGCTGGTTTTTTTTTTTTTGAAAAGAGGTTGTCTGTTCTCTGTGCTCAGAAAAACGGTGCTGCCTTCTGGGTGGCTGAGCACAGCTTCCTCTCGTGCTCTGTGTGTACATTCAACACACCTGTCAAACACAGGAATTCTGACTTTTCAGGATTTAAGGTGCCTCCCTTTTCCTTTCAGACTCAGCCAGGCATCTTTTCYAAGCCCTGGGCTGAGCTGTTCTCCCACAGGTACACAGGGCAGCTTTCCCCAGGCTGACCCTTGCTGGGAGTTCTGTTTAATTCCTTAAAACCCTCCTGAGCTTCCCYGGCCATTCCTTCAAGCCTTGTCTTCTGGGATCTCCAAAAAACCGAGGTGGGAGGGGAAAACTCCTTCCAGGGGTGTCTTGCATGTCGTGGTGGACGTGAGTTCCCTAAAAGGAGACCAAACCAGTGCATTTTCCAGAGCCTCATCCATGTTCCTCGAGTAGTSACAGTCTCCGCATGCCTTGTGAATGTCTGAGCTGAGGATACACAAATTTCAAGTGTTCCAGGACGAAGCTTTTTTTTTAAAAAAAAATCGTAAAAATCTTTTACTCAGTGCTGTAAATTCTAAGATGGGTGCAGGGTTTCTCTTGGATGATCTCCACTGCCTTTTCCTGGAGGCAAAATATCCAAATTTTATGCTGTGATGATAATCTTTGAATATTCAGTGTTATTGTTAGAGTCAGATGCATTTCARAAGAATTCCTGATTGTCTGTTCAGMTTGTCCCGTTGCTTTGGAAGCAGGGAAGGTGTAGCCAGTTTTATCCACCCAAAAAAAGCAGCCAAGTGCCCTCTCCCTGCCACGCTCTGCCCTGTAGTGACTTCGGACAAATGTCAGCATTGGAATTTTTCCCTGTTCTTACTCTGGACTGATTGCTCTTCCTTTAGGTGTAAACTGGATTGTGTAACTTCCTGTAYCCGTTCATGTATGGATAGATTTTTTTACTTTTTTTTTTTTTTGCCATTTACAAAAATCAACTTGAAAACGAGATGCTTGTCTTCATTTTGGGTGTGTGTCCATGTGCCTGCGAGTGGTACCCTCTGAATGCTGGGAATTTCCAGGACAATTTCTTCTCTTGCTGGATAAAAGATTTCCTCTAATCCACTGTGACCAGCTGAAGCTCACAGCAAAAATGTCCCAGTCTTTCCTTTTGGGTTTGGGGTGTCTTTGCTCCCAGCTTGAGAGCGGTGCATGACAATAATGGGGTTTTTAATATTTTAGCATCTTCCTTATGCTGAGATTTATTYAGTGCATCCTTCTCCTGAGCTGGGSAAAGGGAGATCTTTGCAGTGCAGTGGATTGTACAGTTCATTTTCTGAAATTCCTCTCCTGGTACAATTTCTTTGACACAAACCAAGGTGGTTGCAGATTCCTTGAATTCCCTGCTGTGTTATTTCCATCCTTCTCCCCATCCCCTGTCTGTATTAAACTGCCTCCTGGGCTGTCCAGGCCAGTTCTCTAAACCCAGACCAGTGAAATTGGTTTGTTTGGGTATTTTTTTTTTTTTTTTTGGAAATGACACACTTCAGCGTGCCTGCTCTCTCTGCCAGAATATCCCCTACAATGAGGCAATAAACCACTTTTTTTTTTTTTGCTAGATGTGACAACCAAGTTGTGGCAAAAGAAACAGTCTGTACTTTGGTTCTCTAAATCAGATCTAAGCTTTTGAGTGCTGCCACACCAAGGCCACTTTCTGGGGTTGTGGGGAGCTTGTCCTTGTCCTTCAGGCATGGCTGGCCTGGGTCACACCACGGTGCTGCACCCTGTATTTACAGAAGAATCTGCTCTTCACCTCCCCAAATGTGAAAGCAAAGCAGTTACTGCCTCTGCACCCATGAAATTTCACTTTTATTTTTAATTTCTAAAGGCAAAATGAGCTTGGGTGTGCTTTTAAATGTCCTTGCAAACAAAAATATTCCAAGTCACAGCAGAAGGAAACCCTCAATTGTTGGTTCTCATCCCTATTCATGACTTGGCCCTTTAAAGTCAGTGTTTTGACAGAAGTATTTGGGGTTTCCAAGAAGGACATCCCTGTAGAAAGTAAAATATTTGGAACTCCCATTTTAAATTATTCCCTCTAAYTTTAGACTCCACCCTACGGTGAGAACTTGAGGCATAGGATGCTCTGCAATGGTGRAGTTAAAACTTTTAGCACCTGGGAAAATTATTAGTTGCATTCTAGGCAGTATCTGGACTGCTGAAGATTTTTTTTTTAAGAAAATAAAATGGAAATGGGGTACAAAAATCCAGGAGAGATGCATCTGTGAATGTTAGATCTGATCTCTCAAATAYTTTTAGTTCAATTGTGCTGTAAGAAGTGAGATCTGCAATGGGGGTGGCCAAATCTGCCATCAGTTCCTGAGTGTTCCTGGTTTAATGTTCTTTCTGTGTGGCACTAGCTGTGCTGAGTCCCTGCTTTAAGAGGGATTTTTGAAGGTGCAGATCAGGGGTGTCATGAGGGATTTTTCCTTGGAATGTGGGAGAGAGGGGCAGGGAGGAGGAGCAGCCCTGCAGTGTCYGGTACGGCGATGTTTAAAGCACAAATCTTCTACATTTCTGCAGTGGAGATTGTTGAGGAGTTCTGGCATTTTGTCTTTTAATTTGCAACCTTATGTTAATAAACTGTTAGCTTTTTTTTTAGTTCCATAATTAAAAATAAAACTCTTACGTGTTTTGATTGGCTTCTTGTTGCACTCCTGTTGCAAAATCAATCCRAAGGGGCTTTTKTTTYGTTTTTAATTAAGATTTCAGYGAGCTGAGCGTTATCACACAGTGAAATCACTGGGAGTCAGGTCACTGTGGTGAAAGTTAGCACGAGGCTCTTTTGTAATCAGCCCTGAGTCATGTCTGGACATTCAGTGCTTGGTTTTGTACAGTACCAAGTGTCCTAACCTCCCTTTTTTTAAGGAAAGGTGCGTGGACTGTGTTTGGGACTTTGGCTTGAGTCACTCTGCTCCTTGGGATGTGAAATAACCCAATTTCTGTTGCCCCCCTTAAATGTCCACTTAGCCTTGCTTCATAACTATTTAGAAATAAATTCTGAGGCAATTATTAAGTATTTAACAGTAAAGGGTTACAAAATAGTGAGTTTGGGCACAAAACATCTGCACCAACTTGAGAAACCAATTCCTTTTATGTTGGTCTCAGCTGTACAACATCTTTGAAGGAAGAGATCCTGCCTGTTCCAATGACTGGAACTCAGATTCCCACAATTGATGGCACGCTGCTGAAGGTCCCTGACTGTAAAAATGATAAATAAAGGCTCTGGGGAAGGTGTTTGTCCACATCTCAGCCTGTTGAAGCGCAGTCCCAAGCTTTTCCAGCTTACCTTTATAAAAAAATGTGACCCAACCCCAACCAAGTGCTGTCTCGTCCAATTCATTGGTTCATTTCTATCAATTTTCATTGAGAATAAATTAATCTGTATTTGAAAATAGGTGCTAGGACCACACCTACCTGAAACACCAGTGTTTTGTGCAGGTGAGATGGTTTGTGGAGCAGCAATGCAGGTGAAGGAGGAAGGATTGGGCAGGGGGATTGGAACTTGGCAGAAGCCCCTGGGGATTGGTGGCACTTAGGGCTGAGGGACATGGGACTGG